AATAACTGAAAACCAATAATTTCAATGGAGTGTCAACTCTTCAGGCAATAATGAATAAGAAAAGTATTAATTTCACCCAAATGACGCGTGAAACACGAATTTCCCGATAAAAGTGTCTTATATCTTGCAACCCCTGATTATTAGAGTAGGTATATCTTTTGAACATAGTGATAGAAGTGGAATGAAAGTGAATGAAAATAAAGCAATATAGATGTCGCAGTATTTCCCTACAGGCTGGCAACAGCCTGGACTGTCTAAGGACTTCCATACTCATCGCATGGTGTTTGATAAACTCACTTGACTGTCATAAGATGAGTTATTGAAGGAGATGCAATGTATTGCCTTATCCTTATTGGTTTATCTTCAGAAAACTGCAAAAGTAATGTGGTTTATGTGGTTTCAATGTATGTGTTTTATTAGACGCCTTCGGTTCCCTTAGTTCAGTGTCAGTCGAATACAAAACCGATTCCATTGACAAATCAGCCTGAAGAGCCCAGTTCCACTCTATTTATTTTTACGAACAAGGATCAGGGGATCCAAACTAATGATAGCTTCAGATGATTCATTAAATACCATTCCGTAGATACTCCAAACATGAATCTTAATGGTTTACCCTGTAGTCGAGGGAAGTACCTTTAACCGTGAAATGGACAATGCATGACAAAATCCAATAGAGATGCTTTAGGTAGTTGATGAAGCTCACGCTAACCTACTTATTCAAAGGAGTAAGTTAGAGTCGGGCAAGACGGTGCAACTTTGCTTTTCTTTAACAATTTCGATAACAACTTTCGCCAGCCAGATGGTGCAGCTACCATCTACGTTACTCATGTATCTACCATGAATTCCATAATGACAATATGCATGTGGTCTTTTCATTTGAGGCATTGAGTTTAGAGACTTTTTGTATCATCCCAAATTATTATTGTTAATTGGGACGTACATCATATGTGGATAGTTTCTGCAAATACATTAATGCCTCCATAATATTCGTATTTTGAAAATCTCGAATCATTGGCGTAGCCTAAGAAATAGTTGTTCGACCTACCAGATCTGTAGATTTTAACTAGCTGAAGTAAGTATCAACCAGAAATCCTTGTATATCCCTGGTGATTAGTAACTCAGCTAGTGAGCACAGCCAACGCTGATTTTCAATGTTCTAATATTGTTCACCGCTAGCTTTATTGATCAACTTTCGTGAGTTCGAATAATCATGCTGGTACTGATGTAGCATAGGGACTCATCAATAAGCTTTGAAATATCACTAGGTAAATTAATAAAAGGAGAAATCAAAGGCCAGTTTTCTAGACTTTTCACAGAGGTGATTTTAGCAAATGTTTCTCGTACCTGAAACTGTTGCTATTCTCAAAAAATGTCGTAATTTGATGGATTTCATTGAAACAACCGAATGGTATATTGCTTACTTGGCTTGATGTGTTCTGAACTGATAAGCAGTAACACTCCGAATGTGGACTGAAGTTAAACGCTCCATTTTTAGCGAGTTCTTGATGATGGATAACTAGAAACACCTGTAAAAATGTTTTCTGTGGAAATCTTGGACAAATATTCCAAATGTAATTCAATATTCGTTGGAGTCGGTTTATTAGACGATTGACAAAGCCCTTATAAGGAAACCATAATCGTAACAAATATGTTGTTTCCGTCGTTCCGGAGAGAAAATGAGTTTGGATTGGAAATTGATTTCAACTATCGACTGATGATATCCTTGGTGATTTTTCAGCAGTTGTATCGTTTGAGAAAGGTCAGACTATCAAATTCCAACGAAACTTCAGTATTACTTTTGACAGAGGGTCATGTGAAGATAAAATGGAATGAAATTTCATTTGGGGCTGTGAAAATGAGGAAATGATCCCATAAAGATTTCCATTTAAATTCCCGGATGTTTTGTATTTATTTCAATAATATGCCAAGGCAACGACAGAGGAATACAAATTTGGAGGAAATTAAAAACAGAAATCGTGAGTGAAAATATGCAGATATTTGAACGGGGCCACTTGAGAATGACGTACCTATCCAGTTTCTCATTACATCTACTTTCGTTTCAAGAATACGAACAATTATTCAAATTGCAATGACTTCATAATTTTCAGCTGAAGTCAAGTCTTCATTGGTTTTACTGTTGGAATTGATGAAATTGAATTATAAATCAGACGTTGGTAATTACTCTCAACCATACGTCGAAAAATAGTGCACTTACATGCTGCCGACATCTACTCGCGTACCAGGTATTTCATAAAGAATACAATATCAAAGGCTCAAACATCTCTTCACATATGATTTTGAAATTGATTAAAGCATAAAAACTGCGTTAAATACTTACATACTATCAACTTTAGGACAAAAGATTTTCGCCTTCTTCAGGATACAAATATTCATCATCGATATTTTTGTATTTTATCGATATTTCAATATGGTTACCTTAATGGGTTATACTTTATATTCCTTCATAAATATTTTATTTTGAGAATCATGCTTGAAAGCGGACTTTTCATTGAGTAGGTACATTATAAAAACAATATTTTAACATCGACAAAATACAGAAATCATTTTGCGATGACAGTTTAAAAAAGTCATTAAAACCTATTAAAATAATTGCATTGATAGTGTAAAATACTATTTGAATCGTCCAGACAAAATCTAGTTTGTAGATGAATCAAAACTGAAAATCCATTTTTCTTGCTTCTGTTAAACTCTTTTAAATAATTACGTTAAAACTGAAGTGTGTCGTATATGCATTCACTTTTGACATCATTTTTCTTAAGAATTCAGAACTGTTGAGTCATATTTCTTCAAATAACGAAAATATCCAAAACTTATGTAGAAAATATTTTGAGGTATACACTCCTTCACATTTTTTTATAATTGGTAACTATCTGACCTGCTATTTCTTCCTTAAAAACTAGTGCAGCCTGATTGCTCTTTTCATGACACCCATTTCAAAAAAAATATTCTGTACTAGTTACTTAAAGTCCTTTGTGGGTTGTTTTCCAGTTCATCTGTCTCTTTGTTGCACTGTTTGTTGCTGAAATGGATAGCCCTATTTTGTTCAGGTGTCCACTAAATAGACAGTGTCCCTAAAGTAGCGCTATATTTTTTCTAAACCCATCCCTGCTCAGTAGGACCATTCTGCAAAATTTTCTCTGGAAATCCCTGTGTATGTTATCACCGCCGCTCACATGAATGACAAAAAATAACTTTTTGCATGATACAATTCATCATCCTCAATAAAAAAAAAGGTTGTTGACCACTGGAACACACCTGGTTGACGATTGCAGTACCAATTGTTTTGTATTTTGAAAGTACTCATAGCTTTCCGATAGCTTTTCTTGGCCCATTCGATGACACTCTTTCGGTCTTTCGAGAGTCAGTCACAACTCTGATGTGGAGTATAAGTTTTGTAGGTGCAAAAATATCAGTTAACTTTGCCAGCCAATACCATATGAAATATATTTCTTAACGATGGTTAGTTAACGTGATATTGATACAAATTTAGAAATGTACGTGCGGTTGATTTTTGGTATACGCTATTCATTTCAAAAATACCGTTGAACTATTTTTCTATACATTTCTTCATACAAAATATTTCCTCGGGCGAACTTTGAGTACTTTGACTCGAATATTCTTAGAACAATTGACGGTTATTTTTCTTTGATAACCAGAAGCACACATTTGGCATGATTTCTCAATTTCCACTTCAACGAAAGACATGAATCCTTGAAAATTTTCAAACTGCTATATCGAGCTGATTTGAATTCTCATTTGGCACTTATCTCTAGAAAAATCAAACAAAATCTCATATATTGATCACAGTTATTCAATTTACATAATAGTATATTCTGAATTGGTATCGTCCAAACTGTGAAACTTACAAGCCGATCCATTTTTAGGAGCACTATCTGTATATGATAAAAAGCACCATATTCTTCCTACGGTACCAATCGTGGGATGAACTGAAAGATAGAGCATATATACTTACAACACACGGAAGAGCACCCTACAACCGAACCTATTCAGACTAGGATTCAACTGCAAGGAAGTGGAACCCATATCGACTGTCCAACATCTCACGGGTACCGCAACAGTACTGTATCTTTGACAAGGGAAGTTTAAAAAGATCAATTGAGCAAGAAAATACACTATTTGAATCACAAAGCCACAAAAAAGTATTCAATAGACGTTGTAGATACAACGGCGTGGCTGTCAGTCAAAGCTACTGCTGCGGTGTTGCGTTGATGGAATAAAAATGCTAGTATCTACCAAACAGAACAGATGCAAAAGGACAACCATGTGTTTTGTATGGACTTGTACACGCAGGCTATCTGTTGAATTTGTAATTACTTGTTTTTCCATTGAACAACTAATAATTATTGATGAGACAAATAACAATACTTGTTATGACATAAAATGGGAAAGTAGGTAAACAACAATATTAGACAGATATGAGACCCTGCTACAAGAAAATCCTTGATTAATTATGGCAAGATTAATGGAATGGGTCTTGCAGTTAACTTTCCAAAGTAAAAACAAGTGTAGTTTCATGGATACATCTCCCGGCAAGTAGGAAATCCCAGGTCATCATATCTCGCCTGCGAATAGGCCACACTCGCCTCACCCATGGATACCTTATTACCGGCGACACCAGCCCTATGTGTGAAGTGTGTAGCTCTTCCGTAACTGTAGACCATATCTTAACAGAGTGTGTGCTATATTCTACCGAAACACTAACTTATGGCATCCCGCCTTCTATTAACAACGAATTAGGACCTAAGTGAAATATTGAAAATATTGTTCAACCTTAGCGCTAGTTTCACTGCATTTCTAAATCATTCAAGTAACACTGATGGACATCTCACAATGAAGTGTTACTTGAATTTGTTATGGATTGATCCTGACCTTTGTAACACCTGTATGGTTTAGAAAATGGTATGTCTCCAAAGAATACCCACTTCGAATCAGAAATCAAAACAAATGAAACCACTTACCTGTAGTAGTCGTAGCAATTCCCGGTGAAACCGCAATCCATCATCGTGCAAGAGTTCGGCCTGACGGCCTCTGTTGATATTTCATACGTGATGTTGAATCCGTAAACGTCTAGAAAATTATCCAGCACTCTCAAATGAGCACTGTCCGCAGTGATCAACTCGAGACGGATCACCAAGAAACTCTGAAACGTCTGGATCCACCGCACTTTGCTGATGTTAGACTCATTCACGCGGTGGATGATTTGCGGGTTGATCTTGTAGTCGCTCCCGTAGAGCTGATATTCGGTGAACGTGAGTCCCTCGTAGACGAACAACTGGGTCAGATAGACGATAATCGAAGTGTTCGGTGCCCACACATGTTGAGCGTCGATCACCCATTCGCAGTTCAAAGGGACGCTGAAGGGTCCTGCAAAGACAATAAAGATTGGATGAAACGCTGCGCTGGAGAAAAACTGAATAGATTGAATTGAATTTGGGCAGGATAACTCTTTTATTGATGTATTCGATCATTTGTCAATACCACTCCCTACTGTTTCTGTCACTCAAATTGGTGAGCGTAAAAAAAGGTTACTTAGGCCATTTCTTTCGTTCCAACATTTATTATTGATAAATCAGTGGCAAGATTAGCTATTATGTCAATAGCTGCCTATCTGATTAGCTATTATGTCAATAGCTACTCAGCTAGGCAAGTGACTTGGATCAATGACGATTCATTGATCCAAGTCGACTCGAGTCAGTTTATACGGTATTCGAATCATGACTCGATTCCCTGATTCGAGATCAGTACTCGAGTTCTATGTTTGATATTCGAATATTGAGTCGTCTAGTCTAGAACTAGAGTCCGATTTTAGAACAAAAGAGAAAAATGAAAAGAAGTTAACTTCAAACAGCGTGAAGCATAAGCATAATGACAAAAAAATTTTGGATCCACGAATGTTGTTTTAACAACAGTTTTTTTAATCTCATGACCGCCAAATCTTTTATCGAAAACGTCCAGTAATTTTATTTTTAACCTTCCAGCGATTTCGGAATTAGAACTGCAACTTCTTAGTGCCGTTTGTACGCCTTGAATAATAGGTACGATGCAGGATAACGTAGGATATTGCTGGTCGTATAAATGCGATTTGAATAGTACGGTGGACAACGCTTTTACCAGCTTGTACCATATTCGAATACAAAATTGGAGTCAGTTGGACTCGCATAAAAAGAATCGAGTTAGCGAGTACGCATCGATTCTTTCTGACTCGAATAATGGAATCGAGTCCGGCGTACTCGAATCAAAATAAATTGGTATTCGAATAAGCGAGTTCTAAAGCAGGAATCGAGTCTGACTCGAGGCAAACCATACTCGGCACATTACTACTCAAGTGGCCATGGGTTTTGGACAGCGAAGGACGACTATGGATTATTTCTGGATGACCAAATACGATATTATGATAACTGTTGCAATAATAGATGTGCTTGTTTTGAAAACAAAGTTCTTTGCGGATTTAAATGCCACGGAAGTTTAACTTATGTTAACAAATAATATCAGTATTACTTACATGTGTACTTAGAAATTAAGTTACGACATCTGATTCCATGATTTATAAAGAACAGTAACATTTGAAATATATGAAATAAAACATTTCTTATATAGATGTTTAATCTTTTTATTTCTGTCACATGAGCACCCTGTCATACGAATGGCCTAAGCATTAGCCAGCCAGTTTATTGAATTTTGTAACAAACGCTGCAGCTGAATATCATTCAGAATGCTAGTTGAACGGCACTGTTTAGTAAAGAGGCTAGGCTGTTGATTGAACGACTAATCAAGCTAGTTGGCGGGATATATATGAAGAGTTCAAAATAGCCTGTACTCAAAACTAAAAAATTAATGAAGGTGATCAAGTTTATCTCTCATGAGGAGTGACTGAAGCCAGACATGAAATCAAAGTAAGGAAGTCCTGGGGTAACAACATCCTGTTGTCAGTTCAACATTAGCATTATCAGCTGGCTTTAACATTTTACATTCACTTTTCCTTTGAACTATTTTGTTTTCCTATCTTTTAGTATTTTCATAGAATATTGTTATTCGATAATGAAAAGTGCATCAGGATTGAGATTTCTCATCAAACAGTTTTCTGCTATTCAAATCATTTGAAAATGTCCATTAGTAGAAAAATCACTCAAAATTAAATTCGAATATCGCAAACAGAACTTGCCATCATCATCAATATTGGAATATGAAATTTTTTAAAATGATCTGTTTAGGTTTCTTCGGTGTGTTATCTCCATGCTTCTTCGAAGAGCACGACTTAGGTTGAATATTGTATCTACAGTGATATTCTGTAAAAGTGGGTCCTCGAAGACAAAACAGTAGCATAGAAGGGCGTTACTTAGAACACTTCTATTTTTCAACATCAATCATTGGCAAGACAAGCCAGTCCGTCAATAAAATGGGTTTCCAGTTACACTATTCATGGCATATATAAAGATTTTGAAATAATCTGTAATAATAATAATAATAAGAGTGCTATTCGCGTGAAGAATATAGAGGTTCCCGATACCCTAATGCATTTGCTATCAGCATGTCCAGCATATGCGATCTCAACCTATATCCATCGACATAACGCGGCCCTAAGAATGCTGTATTAACCATCTACGGCACTCTTACGGTATTGACGAGACACCGGTGTTTCCCTACGCTCCGGGGGATATTGAATTCGTTGTGGGGAACGAGAAGTGCCGAATTTATTGGGACTATTCGTTCCCCACCCTCAGGCTCATACAATCTAAGCCTGATGTAGTTCTTCTCGACCACCAGAGCAAAACGATATTTGTCGTGGAGTTTTCAGCTCCTGGTGAGACGAATATCGTAGAAAAGAGGAGGAAAAACGGATAAAATATCGAGATTTTCTCTTCGAACTCCGCAGACCCTATTCAGATCACTCTGTCAAGATGGTTGTTCTGATTTTCGGAGTCCTTGTTGGAATGATGTCCTCTCTACTCTCGAATCTCAAAATCATACCGACTTGCCGCACTAAGGCAGAAATCTTAACCGCACAGATGCAGAAGGCTGTCATTCTTGGCTTACTGCGCTTGCTCAGGGCACATGATTCTCGGACCTAATGATCACTTACCCCACGGTATGGCGAGTGGTCATTGGTTGATAATGCTGGCGCGCCCTCCCGATTGTATCGGGGCTGCGGGGGATAGGGCCTGACCAGCGTACACTACGGTAATAATAATAATGAGTGCTATATTACCATCTAAGGCACTATTACGGTATTAACGAGACACGGGTGTTGCCCTACATTCGTTCCTCACCCTCTGACTCATACAAGTGGAGTTTTCACCTCCTGGTGAGACGAATACTGTACGAAAAGAAGAGGAAAAACGGATAAAATATCGAGATTTTCTCTTCGATCTCCGCAGACTCTATACAGACCACTCTGCCCAGATGGTTGTTGTGATTATTGGAGTCCTTAAAATCATACCGGCTTGCCGCAGTAAGGCAGAAGGCTGTCATTCTTGGCTCAATGCGCTTGCTCGGGGCACACGATTTTCAGACCCAATGATCATTTACCCCACGGTGTGGGGAGTGGTCGTTGGTTGATGATGCTGGCGCGCCATCCCGAAGGTATCGGGGCTTCGAGGGATAAGGCCTGACCAGCGCATACTATGGTGAAAAAAAAATTATTTGTCTACGTTACATAATACAATATGTTTGTGTTACCATAAAAATGTGTTCTGAAGTTATCGACAGAATAGAAGCAATACCTCAACAAATAATTTTTCAATTTTCTCTTGTAAGTATTCAGACTGAGTTCTTAGAAATCTTGGGGCAAAATATTGTACAGAGAGTAATCAATGTAATTTTCTCACGATAGATGAAGACGAAATTGATTTATTCTAATATGGTGAGCGTTTTGTGTGTTATGTTCGTCAAGGATGGTTTCTTCCTATGGATTTCAATCTAAACGTAATAAAGAAATAAAGTTGGCAGTGGCAATATTCTTGACAGTGATTTCTGTATCCAATATTAGCCAGCTCTCTCAATGCCTTCTTTTGTATATTTGAATGGAATGACATGAATGAAGAAGACAATGAGTGAAAAAATGAAAAATATTAGGTTTTTAATATATTTGCACTAGTCATGTACTTTAATTGGCGAAGAACATTTTGATGTGGGATAATTGAAGCTGAACATGAAATCAAAGTTTGATCTAAGTTATATACTTGAAGTGACCTATCTTACTTCAAAATATTTCCTTACGCCCATGACAAACGTTCGAGATTTCGGCCATGGTGGACATCGACGACAAAAAAGGCTGGCAAGTCAAGGTAATAATTTTATTGTTGGAGAGGTTAGGGAACGTACCAGGGTGGTCCCAGAAGTACCCGCCCCGACGTAGATAAAGCGGTAGTTGTTTAAAAAATATCACGGTATTGAAAAGTACACAAAAGTGTATGTTTCAAGTTTGAAGACGCTGGGTTGTTTGGTATTTGTTTGGCAGTCCTCAATAGCGAACCTTTTCGGTAAATTTGTGAATATGGAGAAAATGAGTCATCGTTATATGGTAGAATACTTTTTTTTAAAGGCCTCAACCCAATCAACATGAACGCTGAACTGGATTCTACTCTGCCTCTTCGTTTAAAACAGTAAAATATTGGGTAGCAGAGTTTAAACGAGGCCGTCGACCAAATGAGGTGACGACCACAGGAACGGTGGAGAAAATCCACAAAGCGGTACTGAATGATTGTTGAGTGTGCGCGAGAAAGCTGTGTGCAAGATGGATGCCGCGTTTGCTCATACTCGAGCAGTGTCGTAGAGATGTTTCAATTGAGTGTCTAGTGGTGTTTCACAGCAATAGAACAGAATTCTTGAGTCCTTTCATAATCGTGGATGAAACATGGGTCCATCATTTTACACCCAATACAAAAACACAAAACAGTGAACAGGAGAACCGGCTTCAAAGAGGGAGAATACCGTTTTATCTGCATGCAAGGTCATGGCATCGGTTTTTTGGGTTAGTTTTTGTTGACTATCTTGAAAAAGGTAAAGCTATCAACGGCGAGTATTATCCAAACTTATAACAACATTTCAGTGGAGAAATCAACCAAAAACTGTGTTGTTGTGTTGTTTCAACAAGACAATGCACCAGCTCATAACTCCATTATCGCATTGACCAAAATTACCGAATTGAAATTTGAATTGCTACCTCATGCACCCTATTCGCAGTATTTAGCCCACTCCGATTATTTTCTGTTCTCAAACTTGAAAAAATGGCTCAGTGGTCAAAGATATTCCAACGATGAAGAAGTGAAGTCGGCAGTTCTTATAAAAACGGTATCGAACTTATTGAACGCCGCTAGGAAAAGTGTATTGAGCTGCAAGGAGATTATGTTGAAAAATAAATACAT